GCGATCTAAGCACAGCTGCTTTTCTATTACCGTAAGAACCCCTTAGTGTGTCCACATTGTTTGGGGGACAAAAAGTATTTTTCAAAGGGGATTTCCCTGTAGGGAAAATATAGATATCACCTTAAGCAAAACCAGGTATAATATATGGATGCCTCATCCTCGTCGACACAGCATGTCCAAGGTGGTGGGTGAAAAAGACTGAAACTTCTTGCGTAGTCACGTAGTTCTTGTCAGGATCTCCAAAACCGAGGTCGTACGCTCATAGCGCCCAAGGTACCAGTTAGAAAGTGCTTTGACCAAACAGTTTCACGTCACGTGGTGGCAGTTGGCAGTTTTCATTCAGAATTTTATTGCGGCCAACAGGTTTGTCTACTACTGGCAAACCGGCGTTCCACTGGAAAACCAAAAGAGATAGATAGGAAGCAATCAACAAAGCTGCAATATACTGAATACAGTTTTACTTTGAGAGACGTGAGTGCACTAGCAAGCTTAACAAATTTTGAATGGGAAGAACATTGGTCTGAGATGCGTCAGTAGCTTGAATAGAAGACACGGAATCAGTGAAAGAATCACACCAAACCGGGAACACAAACAGGGAAAACACAGCTCAAGGGACGGGAAGAAAAAAACACAAAAATAAGTGAAAAAGAATCCACCCTACCACCTCATCTGATTCTCAGATGTTGGAAGACCTTGAAACAGCATCCTAAATCCCATTCCTGGCAAATGTGAGACGAGAAGATTAACCTAAAGGGGTCCAGGACCCATCCTGAGGATGTCCTGGACGACCCTTCGCAGGATGGGACGCACCGAGTGCCCTGTCTTGGGAGTTTATATACTTCTTTCACTTCGCTGCCGAAATGGGATCCGGAACCATTGAGAAGATTCAAGTCAGGGGACCTACTTTGAGAATGATGGTACAGTAATAATATAACTTATATACGAATGTTGTTGATGATGATGATGATGATGATGAGAGCTGGAATTGAGAGGTCTGGAATCATCGTCTAAAATGGTATGTGGCTCTTGTAGACGGTTCTTCAGTACATCTCTAGGTTCTAGAATTTGTACAACCCCTAGGCCTCCTGGCCCGCCCCATCTCCGACCCGGGCTCGACCGGTGGTCTTCGACCCCCCAACGGAGGTGGGCCGTTCGGAGCCCTAGGGAACCATCATTCCATTCAGTCGTCTACTTCTCTTCTGCTAGAATCTTACAAGAATCCGGATGTCTCTTGTCCAGCAGTGCTTGGTTCTTCAGCTCACACCTCAGGCAAGGCACAAAAACCGCTGCCCTGCGACGGGTTCTGCATCTCGGCTGCACCCCTGAGCTCCTGGTTCACCCAAGAACGAACACGACCGAAACAGGACCGACTGCTGTCCTGGCAGTCCGGTCTCCTGTCTCTAGGGGTGGGGCGATTTCAGAGGGCCCGTGGGGCGGCATATATTGCAGACCCATGGAAGACCCAAACACGACTAATGGGACTACCATATATGGCCGATCAATTGACCCCTGTCTTCAACCACCCCAACTGATAGGTCAATATGCCAGTCCCATGGAGTGTCTGGGATGGATTGTTGGGGGGGCAAACAAACAAAGAGACTTCTGTGACTGTGACTCCTGTTGGGAGTCACAGACTCCGAGGGTTTTTAGGAGATCTGTCAGCCCGACCCGTTCAACTGCCTCCAAGCAGTTGTGTGCTATAGATTTTAGGGCAAAAGCCAAAGAACTACTGATTGTAGTTTGCTTCCTCTCCCCGGTTTTAGAGAACAAAGTGCAAAACCCTCCACGCACAGCAAGGAGGACTAGCTTCATCCACAAGTAAAGCTGACAAAGCGATATGTATATAACTGACCAACACAGCAAAGAATGGGACATCATGTTCGCAAGCAGGATCTGACGGTGTTGGGAACCACTTCCGCCTTCCAACGCACCCAGCTGGTTGAGCGCCACCTCTCAAGCACTGGTTGAGCTCAGCATCGGTCTGCCTAGGAGCGGATCTCCTCAAAACCCCCATGGATCGATATGAGGACCCCTTGATATGAGGCATTGAGCGGAGGTCCAGACCCCTAAGGACAGCTCGGCGTCCCGTCCCGAGGATTCGGGTCCGGTCCGTCGCGTCTGGGTGCATTCTGACAGCAACAAACTGCGTCTGCGTCGTGGAAGAGCATCTCCTTGCATTCCCCATACCCAGTGCATCCTAGGCAGGCAGTTCCCACGTCGTAAGGAACCAGGGGCTCTTCGTTCGGTCGAACTGGTTTGGTCGTTGCCTGGAACCACTAGGACTCCCAGCTATAGTGGTTTGCCTGGATGCCCTGGGTTCCCCTTAGGCTCCTTCAGTCACAAAGTCATCAGTGCAGAAACTAAGAAGTATGTCCATGTATGTCCTGCTTGCTTCAGAAGTATATCACATTGGTGTAAAGAAAGACTGTGATTTGGTGAAACTTCCACCCTCATGGATGAGCTACCTTCTCGACTCAGTCACCGTCATATGGCACCCGGAGTCGTCGTCGTCGTCACACTGGTTCGGTTCACATGGTTCACCTCCCACAGATATGGTGAATCAGTTCATTTTCTGCGGTCAACCAAGTTCACGCACCACCACAGCAGATAGAACAACCAAAGACTGACTGAATCACGGTAAAACCCATCGCCACTGCGGTGAACCCAGTTCCTTCGGGACCGTTGGACCGATCACATTTCGTCCATCACAGGTCCTGTCGCGGCCTTTCTTCACTCAACGGTGGGATGCCCCTCTACTTGGAGTTGCTTTTTTGGAAACGGAAAGCTATAAGACTAACACACAATTCACAATGCCCCAAGAAGGGACTAACGCAGGAACCGGGAAAATACTCATGCCCCGATCGTCCCCGATCAAGAACACCACGTGCATCAGTGTCAACGTCTCAAAGCGCAGTGGTACAAGGACCCGACGTGCGTCGGTTCACGGGGATTTTTTCGATTCATTCGATGAATAGGTGATCAGCTGCAGGCTGGCACCCCATCGAATTGAACAATCATTAAAGATTCCGCTCGTTGCCTGCCGTGTAATGTTGCAATTCACGTACGTACTTATATATTATGGTATACTGAGTCTCTCATCCGCTCTCATCTATTCATTATCTTGCTTGGAGGTGCAAATCTGAATGGTGGGTCACCCAAACAATCCATGCTACGTAGTATGATAATCCCAATGTGGATTTAAGCACCTACCAGCACCTACAAATGGAAGCACCTACACTACTTAGGGACCTCCATTGGACACCCCTTGAAGGTCCATCGAAGGGCGCCCCTGGTGTGAAAATGACGGGCGAATGCGAAGCTGAGTCATAGATACTCATAGATATGATGAGTCCCATGTATGAGTTTGAAATAGTTTGAAGCAACTCTACATGACCAAGCAGTTGAACCCCCCCTTTTTCAATCGTTCTCAACTCCTTGGGGAAAGATCTTCCAGGTCCCACGGACTCGGAGTCCAACGAGTCTCGGGACCTCCGACCGAGTGTCCCACGGCGTCTCCGGTTGGATTCCGTGCCTCGGCAGCCGAGCGGGGGTGGCGCGCGGAGAGATCCTCGGCGTGCAAGCGTTGTTTTCAGTGTCGAATCGGCAAGTGGTGCGAGATCCGGGGAATGGTGGGAGGACGGTGGGTGTGAATTTCTTTTTGAGGTTTCTGTCGTTGCCGGAGGTGTTACCGGTGCGACGACTGGTGCAATTCAAACACAATGTTTGCTTGGTCGTGGTGGGATTGAACCTGATCACAAAAGAAGGGGAATGCAACACTAACACGACACGGGTATTATGCATTTTCCATGTTTGCTCATGCAAATTCAAGGTTGATCAGTTGGAAAGGGTCATAACCTTGCCATACTTACTTCTAACGATTTCTCGCGAGCCAAGCACTGTGATCCAGATCGATTGGAAGTTTGGTCGAGCTTGCACATGCTTGGACTCTTGCTGGCTAGATGATCCATCTGGTTGCGCCCGCTGATGAAGCTTTGCCCTTTTGTTCAGTACGTGATTCGTTTCTGTACCGTGCCTAGTCTGTGATTATCCATGCATTAATCAACCAACCGATAGTAAACGTTCCTCTATGGCACGAGCTCATAGGCTTTGCTCATGACACTGCATGATCTCGCGCAACTTTCTTCATCCCATGTGTGTCACACTCCGCTAAGGAGACTGTATATGTCAACCCCTTTCAATGGTCTTGGAAGGCTAGGGTAAACTTCATTCATATATTTCACTCGGCCAAATGCTTCTTGCACACACATGCCAAACTTGCCTTTCTTGCTTTGTGCTACCAAACCGCCCCGGTCTCCAAACCGGAAGCAGCCTCCATGATGTCGTGCGCTGCTCCAGCCTGCATTGCCCGCTGTCCGACAGCGCGACAATGGGGTGATGTTAGAGTTGCTCATTGGCAACACAAGACGACACAATAAACAATCCCTAGGGCTCCAACCACCTCCTGAGAAGGTGGTTGGGGTGTGTTTTGGGGTCTAACCACCTTCTGAGGAGATGGTTGGAGCCCTAGGGAATGGCAAACATGTAAAAAACAATCTTTGGGTCAATGTTCTGTAGCATAAGTCACAGGTTGCAGTCTTTTGTCCAGTTTGCTTCCAGCATCCCCTGCCTCCGAACAACGTTGGTATCCTGTCGTATCCGCACCATCAAATCAAGGGCCCCATCCCCAGGATATATATATATATATGAGACAAACACTCATCAAATATACTTGCAAACGAATCCAAAGTATCAAAGAACATGGAAGGACAACTTCCCCAAACACTGTGCTTGTACTGTAAACATGCCAAGTTAAGCAATCTCATTTGGCAGGACGTCCTCACCAGTTTCCCTCTTCACCACCCCTCAGCTTGTTTCGCACTTCTTGCATCACTTTGGTCTTTGTCTCGTGCCTGATCTGTCTGAAAAAGACTTCCAGGTTCTTAAAAGTTGGCTGGCATAGGTGAAAGGGAAATCGGTAAATCGTAGTAGATCACTAAGGACTATTTGGCGGCTTTCTCCTTCTCCTTCTCCTGCTTCTTCTTCCAGGCCACGGCCTTCTTGTGGGACGCCTCGAGCTCGGCCTCGCTGTGGTCCTTCGGCTTCACCCGGAAGTTCCGACATGAACCATTGACTGCGATGCAGGCATGCCACTGCTGCTCGGACTGTCTCCATGTGACCCCGGGGTAGGGCACCTTCGCCTCGAAGATCGGCAGCTGCGAGAGGCACCCCACGGCCGTCACTTTGCGCTCCAAGCCGTGGAGATTCGCGAGCTCCAAGGCCTTTGACTCGGCAGCGGCCTTGTCGGTGAAATAGCCGCCTTCAATCGTCTTCTTCCTGTAGGTTTGAGCCGCACTCGCCACTTTTTAGTTGCTTTTCTCCAACTCACCCCCGGCACCTCGCTGGTGAAGTTGGGATCGGCGGGCTTCGGCTCCTTGAGGACGCCCTGTTTCACCAGCTCGGCTCGGAAGGCCTTGGCCGCCTCCAGCGCGGCGGCGTCGGCTTCGGCCTCGGTGAGGCCCTCCTT